ATTGGAAGAGACACGCAGGGAGGGAGGCCTCGGGGGGTCGAGGCGTTGCGGGGGCTCGAACGTGCCAGGGAAGGGGCCTCCGGGGAATTCCAGAGCAGAACAGTGGTCCCAACCTTGGAGTGCACCTGCCCCGGGAGGGCTGGACATTTAGCAGAGTTTGCTGGAGCAAAGAAACCATCCATGAGTCAGGCGGCATCGTGAACCGGGGAAGGTTCAGAGAGCCCCACGCACCCAGCCACGCCGACAGGCAGTCTGCACAGGCAGAAAGGAAAGGGGCGGATGGAAGCAGCCTGGTGGGTGGCAGCTTACTGGGCCCTGCCCGGGAGGTTTGCAGCCTGCGACTGGCGGACAGCTCAGCTGCTGTGATGGGCAGAAACGCGGTTACTTGTTACAGGACTAGACTCTCAAGTTGGGTGGCAGTGTGTCTAATACTCAGTGAGGTGAATGGGTGCGATGTACCAGGCAGCTTTGGGCCATGTTTAATTTAGTTTCACACACCACAGCCTCCTGGGGCACGGGTTTAAACATGGGTTCTGTCTTCAAATTTCGTCAATGATGTAGCGACTGGCTCCGTGGGCAGGGACACGCTTCTCCTCCGAGCATCCTTCTTTGCTGTGATCCAGGGACTTGGAACCACCAGCCTTGCAGACAGACCGAGCATCTGGTTACTACCGACCCCGAGCAGATTTTTTTTCTTATGGTTGCTCTTCCCAACGCTTTTTTTAATGTCTTATATTTAGTTTTTTCTTTCCTTTTTTTTTTTTTTTTGAGTTGGAGTCTCACTCTGTCGCCCAGACTGGTGGGCAGTGGCATGCTTCCAGCCACCGCAGCCTTGACCTACTCGGCTCCAGTGAGCCTTCAGCCTCAGCCTTCCAAGTAGCCAGGGCTACAGGCACACGCTACCATACCTGGTTAAGTTTTTTTGATTTATTGTAGAGATGAGGTCTTGCCAAGTTGCCCGGGCGGGTCTCGAACCCACAGGCTCAGGCAATTCACTCACCTCAGCCTCCCAAAGTGCTGGGATGACAGACGGAGCCACCCAGCCTGGCCTCTTTACATATTAATTGTGGTGAACTATTCCATAATATTTAACATTTTAACCATTTTAAGCGTACACTTCAGAGGCATTAAGTACACCCACATTGTTGTGCAACCATCAACATCCATCTCCAGAATTTTTCACCATCCCAAACGGAAACTCTACTCATGAAACGGTAACTCCCCAAATCCCCTCCCCCCGGTCTCCGGCAACCACAATTCTGCTTTCTGTCCTTGTGTCGACGACGACTCCAGGTGTGGAATTGTGTGATGTCTGTCACTTGGTGTCTGGTGCAATTTACCTCACATACTGTCTTCAAAGTTCGTCCATGATTAGCAGATGACAGAATTTCTTGCTTTTTAGAGCCAAATAGTATCCATTGCGTATTCACAGCACGTTTTGTTTATTCAATCATTCCTTGATGGGCCTCTGGGCTGGTTCCATCCTCTGGCTGTGGCGAATCGCGCTGCTGTGCCTTTGGTGTGCAGACACCCCTGGCAGTTCTGCTTTCAGGTCTCTGTTGTATAGACCCAGAATGAAATTGCTGGATCACATGATAATCCACGTTTAACTTTTCAAGGAGGTGTCGTGCTGTTTTCTAGACGGCTACAGCATTTTACATTCCTACCAGCAATGCCCAAGGCTTCTGGGCTGCCCACGCCCATGTCAGCACTCATTGCTTCCTGTGTTTTTTTTTTGTTGGTTTTTTGGGGTTTTTTTGAGTTGGAGTCACATTCTGTCACCCAGGCTGGAGAACAGTGGCACGCTTCCCGCCACCGCAGCCTCGACCTACTGGGTTCCGGCGATCCTTCAGCCTCAGCCTTCCCAGTAGCTGGAACTAGCGGTGTGTACCAATACGCCCGGCTAGTTTTTTATTTATTGTAGAGACAAGGTCTCGCCAAGTTGGCCAGGTGGGTCTCGAACCCGCAGGCTCAGACAATCCACTCGCCTCGGCCTCCCAAAGCGCTGGGATGACAGGCTGAGCCACCGAGCCCGGCCCATTTTGTGTTTTGTTTCTCCATTTACCACGGCCCTTTCTGATGGGTTGGAAGGGCTGTCTTACTGTGGTTTTGACTTACATTTCCCTAGGGATTGGGGATGTCAAGCGCCTTTATCATCAGTCTATCTTCTTTGAAGAAACGTCTACTCAAGCCTTTGCCCATTTTCACTGGGTTTGTGTGTGTGTCTTTGTTGTTGTCGTTTTTGAGTTTGGGGCTTTCTTTATATAGTCTGGATATTTACTCGTGAGCAGCTATGTGATTTGCAGATATTTTTTCTCATTCTATAAGTGGTCATTTTGCTGTCCCAATAGTGTCCTCTGATTGACAAGATTCTAAATGTTGGTAAAGCATAGTTTGTCTACTTTGATGTGTTGCCTGTGACTTTGGTGTTCTGAAGCTTTATCCTTGTTTTCTCCTAAAATGGTTACAGTCTTAGTACTGTGTTATTTAGGTCTTTGATACACTTTTAGTTCATTTTTATAGAGAGAGGTAAGTACGAGTCCAAATTCGTCATTTTGTATGTGGATATCCAGTTTTCCACCACCACTTATTGAAAAGACTTCCCTTCTCTATTGAATGGTCTAGCACCCTTGTCAAAAATCATTTGACTCCATATGAAAGGATTATTTTTAAGATTTGCCTTCTACTTCATTGGTTCATATTTCTGTCTTTATCCAAGTACCACACTGTTTTGATTATTACGGTTTTGTCGTGAATTTTGACATCAGGCAGTACAAGACCTCCAACTTTTTTTTTTCAAGATTGTTTTGGCTGTGCAGGGTCCCTGGAGATTTCATATAAATTTCACAATAAATTTTTCAGTTTTTGAAAACTACATAATTGGAATTTTGATGGGAATTGCCTTGAATCTATGCACTGCTTTGGGTAGCATTGCCATCTTATCAACATTTTCTTTCAATCCATAAATGCAAGATGCCCTTCCATTTCTTCATGTCTTCTTTCCTTGTACTGTTTTTTGCTTTTTGGTTTACAAGTCTCTCATCTCCTTGGTTAACTGCTAAGTATTTTATTCTTTCTGATACTATTAAAAATGAAATAGCTTTCTTAATTTCCTTTCAGAGTGTCCTTTGTTAATGCAACTGATTTTTGTTGTTGTTGTTGATTTTTGTGCCCTGCAACATTGCTGAATGTGTTTATTAATTCTAACAGGTAAAATTGTAAAATTCATGGGACATTCTCCAAGATAGACCCGATGTTAGGCCACAGATCAAGTCTCAATAGATTTAAAAAGACATATTGTAGAAAAATATCTTCTCCAATAACAAAGAGAGGTAGTGAGAAATCAGGAACAAAAGGAAAACTGAAATTTTCACAAATTGTGGAAATTAAACAACACACACCCTTAAACAACCAGTGGGTCAAGAAAGATATCGCAAAGGAAATCAGAAAATACTTAAGGACAAATGAAGATGAAAATACATCATGCCGAATCTTATGGGAGGGGTGAAAGCAATGCAAAGTCGGAAATGCATGGCTGTAAACACATTAAAAAGCAAGGTCTCTTTCGCGGTATGGAATCATGCTGTCTGCAAAGAGCCATAAAAAAACAAAAGCAAGATCCCAAACAATGACTTGAGTTCAAGTTAGAATGTTCTAACTTTAGGATGTCAACTGTAAGCCCCATGATAAGCTCAGAAAATAGCCAAAGAATGTACACAAAAGGGGTGAGAATTAAAATGTTTCCGTACCCAAAATCAGCTGAACGTGAAAGAAGACAGTAAGATAGAAATTGAGGAACAAAAATGTGATATCTTCTTGCTATGTTGAACACCTTATTAACATATAATATCCTCTGTCTTTTGTAACATGTTTTATTTAAAATAGATTTTGCCCAATATTCATGTAGCTACCCTTTCTTCTTTGGGTTACCATGTGCATGGAATAGCTTTTCCAGCCTTTCACTTTTAATCTCCTTGCATGTTTGGAGCTAAAATGAGTCTCTTATAGACAGTACATCCTTGGATCACACTTCAAAAGGCTAATGTACAAAAACAATTATTACTCTATGCCTACAATTTAGGGTCTAGAAAAAGAACAATTTAACCTGAAAGCTGGCAAAGGAGACAGTAAAGACTACAGCGGTGACAAATTGAGAACAGAAAAACAACAAAGTCCACTAAACCAAAATATAATATTATAATTGATAATATACAGAATTCATAATATATACATGATATAACCCACTTAACCTGAAAAGCATACCCCAAAACTCTTTCTTACAGCTCTATTCTCATCTCCTTCATGTTACTGGTGCCACAAATTATGTCTTTATGCTTTGTGTGTATGTTCAAAACTAACATATAACTGCCCATGCACTTACCTTGTCCAGGCTATTGTATTCTTCACACAGTTTCAAGTTACTTTTCAGTGCTCTTTCGTTCCAGTCTGAAATGAAATGCTTCTGATTTCTTGCAGGGCAAATATTGCGGTAAAACACAAACAAACAACTTACTCAGTTTTTGTTTTTCAGGAAATGTCTTAATTTCTTCTGCGTTATTGAGTAATAGCTTTGCTGGGTATAGGATTCGTGGTTGACGGGTGTTTATTCTTTCAGCACTTTGACCATATCTGTTGGATGGATATTACATCTTTCTGAGCACCGATTTCTGCCTGCCTAGCATCAGGTTAGTAATATTTACTTGATGAGTGTTTGGGTGAAGATTAGATGAAGGGAGATACGCAACATACCTAGACCAGTGTTGGCGCCGGGAGACACTTGATAGATCATAGCAGCTATAACTCGTGTCTTCAAAGGAGGAAACCAGAGCTTGGCTCCCTCTGTGATTGGCCCCAGGCCACACAGCCTGTGTGGGAGAAGAACCCAGGGCTTGAATGGGATCTCCTGCCTTCTTCCAGCTGCACCATGCCCCACTGATGGGGAGGCTGCCACACCATCTAACAGCCCTTCCTGATTTGGCAGGGGCTGGACATCCTGGACAATGCCACTCATCCTGTATACCTGTCTCCTCTGGCTGTGCACCAGTGGCTTCTGGACGGCCCAGGCGGAGGACCCCAGTGCTGAAGAGAGCATGAGGAACCACCACCGTGACCTGGCTCCAACCAACGTTGACTTTGCCTTCAGCCTGTACAAGCACCTAGTGGCTTTGGAGCCTGGAGAGAACATCTTTATCTCCCCTGTGAGCATCTCCATGGCCTTGGCTATGCTGTCCCTGGGCACCCGTGGCCACACGCAGACCCAGCTGCTCCAGGGCCTGGGCTTCAACCTCACCGAGAAGTCGGAGGCTGAGATCCACCAGGAATTCCAGCACCTCCACCACCTCCTTGGGGAGTCAGACACCAGCTTGGACATGACCATGGGCAGCGCCTTGTTTTTTGACCGCAGCCTGGAAATGCAAGAGTCATTCTCAGCAGACATCAAGCACTACTACGCATCAGAAGCCTTGGCTGCTGATTTCCAGGACTGGGCTAAGGCCAGCAGACAGATCAATGAGTATGTCAAGAATAAGACTCAGGGGAAAATTGCCAATGTGCTGTCACAGCTCAACAGCCAAGCCATCCTCGTCCTGGTCAACTATTTCTTCTTCAAAGGTACTCCCACCCACCGCACTCTCACGAGACCCCCCCCCACTACTGCCAACACTAGTAACAGTCACCAAAACCCAGGCAGAGCCTTTGACTAAGCAATTCCTATCTGGAAGGCTCTGTCTTCACCACAAATCCTCCCAGGAAGGTGGAATTGTGTTATTTTACAAAAAATCAAAATGGCGCCCAGGAGAGTTGAGTGACCTACTCATGTTCTGGCAGATTGGTTCGAGGTCCTTACACGTAACCCGAAACAATTCGCCGCCTCTCACTCTGTGAATATTGCCGGGCAGGCACTAAACCAAGGGCTGAAAATAAAGCCTAGAACCAGACACAGCCCCATCTCCCAGGAGCTCCCAGGTGCCCCAAAGCCACCTCGCGCTGGCACAAATAGCCAGCTCCACCAGGTCTCACCTCCGTTTTCCAAAGTGCCCACTCATAAAAATCTCCAGGGAGACTTGTTAAAACTACAGATTTCATTGTCTGTGCCAGAGCTACTGAAAAGTAAAACCTCTGGGGGAGAGCCTTAGGATGTGTGTTTTAAAAAAGCTCTCCCACCTACCTGAGATGATTTTCTTTTTTTGAGCTGGAGTCTCACTCTGTCACCCAGACTAGAGTGCAGTGGCTGCTCCCGGCCACCGCAGCCTCGACCTGCTGGGCTCCGGCGATCCTTCCGCCTCAGCCTTCCGAGTAGCCGGAATTACAGGCGCGCGCTACCACGCCCAGCTAATTTTTTGATTTTATTGTAGAGATGAGGTCTCGCCTGCCCAGGCGGGTCTCGAATCCGCGGGCTCAGGCAATCCACTCACCTCAGTCTCCCAAAGGCACGGGATTACAGGCTGAGCCACTGAGCCCAGCTTGAGATGATTTTTATGATCAAGCAGTTTGGAGTCACACTATTTTTGAGAATAAAAGCTAAACTTCTCGGTCTAGAGCAGTGGCTCTCCACTGAGGACAATGCACCCTGCCCTCCCAGGGACACTGGCAACGTCTGGAGACATTTTTGGTTGTCACCACTGGGGTACGGTCGGGTGTGCTCCTGGGTAGAGGCTGGAGAGGCTGCTAGACGTCCCACTTGTAACGAACGCCCAGGACTGCTCCACCCGTCACGTCCCCTCCCAAACATCACAGTGCCAGGGCTGAGGCATCTGTCCTCTGACCTCTCCCGCCTCCTCCAAGCTCCCAACAGGCAGCAGACAGGTTGGCGTCCCACACGGAGTTCAGCACGCCAGTTCCCTTCCCAAGCCCTGAGCGTGCCCGCGTCCCTGGAAGTCTGTGTTCGCATCCGTGGGATGGCTGCAGCAAGCTCCCACAGACTAGTGGCTTGAAGCAACACAAGTGAATTATCTTCCGATTCTGGAGGCCAAAAATCCCGAATGGATCACATAGGGCTAGAGTCCAGATGTGGGCCTGGCTGGTTCCTTCTGGAGGCTTCAGGGGGTAGGGTGTTTCCAGGCCTTTCCAGCTTCTAGAAGCCCCAGGCTCGTGGCCGGGTTCCACCTTTGAGGGTAGTAACCGTGCCCCTCCAGCCCTGCGTCTGTCTCACACCTCCTTCTCCCCCGGACCTCCTTGCCTTCCGGGTCCACTGGCAAGGGCCCTTGTGGCTACGCTGCAGAACGGGCCGAGATAATCTCAAGGCCAGCTGATGAATAGATGCAACTCTGTGTGCAGCTTTAATTCCCCCTCAGGTTCCGGACATTGGGGGGGCCATTACTCACCTGCCACAAAGCCCAGGCCCCTTCTATCCCATGATGCACCCCTCCCCACCCCCCGCAATTTATCTGAATGCCTGCCACATCTCTGCACCCTTCATGTCTTGCTCAAAAGTTACCTCCTCCGGGAAGCCTCCCTATGCCCTCAGAAAGCCTTTGTCCTCACGGCATGCTCTGCAGTCGGCCCGGGACCCACGAGGGTTGAGTTTCAACAATGCCCGGCAGTCCTATGCAAAGAAATGTGGGGGAAACAGCAAAGCCGCGACTGCGATATTCAGCGCGTGCCTGTCAACAGCATCATGGGGCCTCAGAGCTCCAATCCCCAGCAAAGACTCTTCAAAGCCCCGCCCGCCCTCCCTGACCCCCTCACTGCCCAGGCAGCCTCAGCATCTCGGTGAGGCCTCTCCCTCCCCCTGCCTCTGGGTGTGGCCCGTTCTCCAGAACAAATCTGGGAGCCCCTGGCGGAGACTGCCCTCCTCAGAGGGGCCAGCTGAGAGGCTGCCCGAGCATGGGCTGCTTTCTTTTCACCCCACCATGGGAGGGCTGGGGAAGCTGGGAGCGTCTGCCCGGAGACGGTGATGGGTGTGCCCACAGATTCCAGAACTGCCTCTCCCACGGGAGAGACTGCACACCCTTGTGCAAGCCACCCTCCCTCTCTCTCTGGGAGCCCCAGCGCCTTTGTCACATGGAGGTTCTGGCAACACGACCTTGGGGAAAGGCGCCGTGATCCCGGGTCCGAGAGGGCCTCCTGGCCTGCAAGACCGAGGCCGTGCAGGCACCGGGGGCACGGACGGGCACAGCATCACGTGTTTCTCGGTGTCCTCAGGACCACAGTGAAGCCCACTGGACAGGAGGCCTCTGCTTCTGCTTGCAGAATCCGAAAGGCTTTCAACATCCAGACGCAGGCCCAGACACAGACAGGGAAAAAAGTGTCTCAGGGCTAGATGCAGGAGAAGGAACCGGCAAGTGGCTGGTCAAACGAGGGGAGTGCTCTGAAATGTTTCCAGAGGAAGAAAGGGAAAGAAAGGGCGAGGCAGCTCTTACCTCTCAAGCTGGGCCCTGTGAGAGGTCCCTGGTGAGCTCCTTATTCGTTGGGCTTTCTTGACCGCTCTTTTGGAAGAACGTTAAACAGATTGTTAAAATATTTTAGGGGGAGGTGTCCTCTTTTCTCTCTGATCTCTGCCCAGAAATTCTGAAGTTTCTCTGCTGCAGTTCTCCTAAGAACTTTCTAGATGAAAGCCCCTGGAATTTGAGCCCTCTCCTGTTTTGTGCTCTGTGCTCAACTCGAGGGGTCGTGCCGGCTTCTAGAAAAGAAATACCCAGTCAGGGCAGAACTTCAAGGATGAAAAACCGAACACAAAAAAATGTTTTATCCACGTTTTCCTACGCTTTGAACAAATTGGCCACAAAAACGTAACCCCCTCCGGTTCTGAGGCCTTCAGACTTCCTTTGAAGGATGATTTGAGAACCCCCAAATGGTCTCACTTGCCGGGAGGCAGGCGGCCAGGGAGCTGACGGTCAGGGAGTGTCTGCACGTGCAAGGGAGAGTCTCTCGGCTGGACCAGGCCCAGCCCCCCGGTCCGTCTCCAGGCTCTGCGGCCATAGCAGGTCACCCTATGTCCTCCAGGCTTCCTCCCCCTCCGTGGGTTTGAGGCTGGCTCTGAACTGAAAACCATGGCCGAGCGGCCTGTCCACCCTGTAGGCAGTGGGGCAGAGAAATGGGCCCTGGAACGATGTTCTGGCCACCTCCAGGTAGCCTCAGCCAGGAAACAGGGCCCTCACAAGGGCTTCTGGGCTCGCGGTCAAGGACAGCCGGGACTCCTAGGACCTCCTGGACTGCAAGGTCTCGGTCAGCAGCTTAGGGCTGGGAAGCTTTCCCCCTGACCGAGAGACCTTGTGACTCTCAGCTCGTGTAACACCTTGCAGGAAGACGCGGGGTATCAGGAATAATCTCAGGATGGAAGAGGCCATGTCAGAGCATTTCTCTTCCCGTCAGAGCTGGCCAGCACGGCCGAGTCCCTTCTCTGAAGCCAGTGAGCGCCCCACGGCAAAGCACGCCAGCAGGCTGGATGATGGCATCGTGGGGCATGGGAGAGGGCTTCAGGGTTCAGTCGGGTGAGATTCTGTGACCCTGAAAGAGTCCTCTCCCCCGGACAACACGGCCTAGAACGAGGGACCCCACAGTGGGGTCAGGGGCTTCCAGAGGGCCAGCCAGGCCGTCGTGTGGCGGTGAAACGTGGGGCCCACTCCCAAGACCACCCCCGCCTCGCCTGCCAGGGACCCTGAGTGCGAGGCTTGAAGTCCAGAGCTGCCTCACAACCGTCCAGCTGGGTCCCACTCCAGGCCAGGGGGCCCAAAGCATGGCTGGCGCCAAGTGTGTCCACCCCAAGTCTAAGAACCGGCAAGAACCAAGTCTAAGTCTCGCCCTCTTCTGTGGTTAGAAGCCAACCTCAGTCCCAGTCAACCCTACACCATTCCACGATGTAAGGACAGAGCCGGCTTTAAACCTCTGGGAACTTTGTTATCTTACCAGAAAACTCACGAGGCTCTCGTGGGGACATTCAGGCATGTGGGAGGCCCTGGTCACTTGTCAGGCGAGCTGCTCCCGTGGCTTTCCAGCCGCCCGCGAGGCCGTCCGACTGCGCTTTCCTCTCTGCCCTGCAGGCCTGTGTCCCACTTCCTCTCTCCGTCCTCTTCCCAGGCACGTGGGCACAGTCCTTTGACCCAGAAAGCACCAGGGAGGAGAACTTCTACGTGAACGAGACAACCACGGTGAAGGTGCCCATGATGTCCCAATCCAGCACCATCAAGTACCTGCGCGACGCGGAGCTCCCCTGCCAGCTGGTGCAGCTGGACTATGAGGGCAACGGGACCGTCTTCTTCGTTCTTCCAGACCCAGGGAAGATGGACACGGTCGTCGCCGCCTCGAGCCGGGACACCATCCTGAGGTGGTCCCTGGCCCTCACCACCAGGTAAGCCCCGACCCTCAGGTTGGCCCACCAGGTGCGCGCTCCAAGAAGCCAGGGCGGAAGGAGGGGGAGCCCTGGGAATCTTCCCCTTCCCAGCCTCGCACGCCAGAGCTGGCTGTTTTCCTACCAGCTGGGGTCCCAGAGGCGGTGGGATCCTCTGATCTAGAGGTCTCTCGGTGTCCTTGGGACCACAGTGAGGCTCACTGAACAGGAGATCTCCGCTCCTGCTTGCAGAATCCGAGAGGCTTTCAACATCCAGACGCAGGCCCAGACACAGACAGGGAAGAAAGGTCTCAGGGCTCACAGATTTTCTAGATGCAGGAGAAGGAACCAGCAAGTGGTTGGTTAAACGAGGAGAGTGCTCTGAAATGTTTCCAGAGGAAGAAAGGGAAAGGAAGGGCGAGACAGCTCTTACCGCTCAAGCTGGGCCCTATAAGAGGTCCCTGGCGCGTTCCTTCTTCACTGGGCTTTCTTGACCTCTCTGCCCATCAACACTGAGACACCCCGGGGCACTTCACAAAGCGGGGACCCTGTCCCATGAGGTTCACAGTCGCCCGCTGCTTTACCGCATGTTTGCATCATTTTTTCACTGTGAGCACGTCAGTCGCCCAGCGTCCTGCGTCCCCTGTGGCCATCTTGTCTGAAACCCAGCCCTGCTAGAGGTCATGGGAGGCCCCGTTAGAAATAATGAAATGACATCCGTATCCAGCAAGGAGCCCATGTGGAGCCCATGGGTGGCTCTTAAGTCAGGTCAAACTCTGCCTCAATTGGTCAATAAACATGAGTCGGTGAGAGCTGTGTGAGTCGAAAGAGAGTGAGGGGTGTAGACGCTGGCACGTCAGGAGATAAACCAGCCCGTGGAGTCCCTGTGACTCGGAGCTCAGGCCCCAGCCCGGGGCTGGTGCAGAGTGGGCACTTGGGGAAGCCACTGAGGATGTGAGCCAGCAATGAGTGAATGAATGGGTAAGTGAATGGGTGAAGAGATGGATGGGTGGGTGGGTGGAAGGCTGGATGGACGGACAAGGGAATAAGCACATTTCCCCGGGGACCTCTGAGCCAGGGAGCACGGGGAGTCGTCATCAAGCTGGGCTCCTCTCTGGGAGGAGGGTGGGATGTTCTCCAGCCCTCGGCTCCCTCAGGGAGGTTCCGGCTCGGCCTGCCGGAGAACCAGAACACACCAGGCGACACTGAGCCCGGCGGCAGGCTGGCTGAGGAGGCTCAAGGCCGGGGAGGGGCGGGAGCGGGCACTTGGGTCTGGAGTCACTCAGGAAGGCTGGAGGGGCAGGATGCCTTTGGCTCATGCTTCATTCACTCTTTCATTCTTTGTGCATTCATTCAGTACCCCACGCAAAAGCAGCTGCTGTGTGCCACGCACTAGGCGAGGCACGGAGGGGCAGGTGGGTGGACAGGGCACAGCGGGAGCCTTGGAGACATGGACTCTGGGCCAGAACGCAGATTCTGGTGAAATTAGCAGTAGGACAACGATGCGAGTTCTGTCGGAGGGGAGCAGAGAGAGAGGTGGGAAGATGCTGGCTGGGGTGGGGAATGCCTGGCTCTGCCCGGGAATGCAAGGGGCAGATCACCTCCCCTGCCAACTGCCTTGACCAGAGCCTTCAGCCAATGGGAAGAGGCGCCAACCAAGTGGGCGGGGGGCACGGGGCGGGTGAGCCCAGAACACCTGCAGAGCAGGGCCAGCGGCAGTGAGGGGTCAGACGCGGCCTGGATGAGCTTCGTGGCCCAAGGACTTTGCAGCAGAAACTGTAGGAAGAAACGCTTCTATGCTGTGACATACGGAGGTTTTGTGGTTTGTGGTTTCCGGTGGTTTTTCTTCTGAGTGACACCCTCGGAGAGCTGTCTGGGTATGGGAGCTTCTAGACAGATACATGCAGTTCTGTAATGGGTGAGGTCAGCTTGTGCCTCAGAGAAATCCCCAGTAGCTACACGGGGCATACAGCTCTCGAACCATCCTTGCCTACCGTGGAGAGAGAAAGAGCGAGAGCGGGAGGGAGCGAGAGAAGGAGAGGGAGAGAGAGAGAGAGAGAGACAGAGGGAGGGAGAGAGAAAGAGAGAGCGTGTGCATCTGGGCAATGCTAGGGTCTGGTTCACCAGTTCCCCACTCCCGTTCCCGTCTACATCCCACTCCTACCCTCAGAGGGAGCCTGTGACTTGAAGGGAATGCTGTCAAGGGGTGCAGATGCACCGCGTGCAACCCACTCCAGCCCCTGGTCTGCAGAAAATGACGCAAGGAATTATCCCTCACTTTGCACCAAAAATCATCTTGTCACAGAAATGCTTGAATCCAGGGCCCATGTTCTTTTTTTTTTTAAGTTGGAGTCTCACTCCATCGCCCAGACTGGAGTGCAGTGGCTGCTCCTGGCCACCGCAGCCCTGACCCGCTGGGCTCCGGCGATCCTTCCACCTCAGCCTTCCGAATAGCTGGAACTACAGGCACGTGCTACCACACCCGGCTGATTTTTTTGCTTTATTGTAGAGATGAGGTCTCGCCAAGTTGCCCAGGCTTGGTCTCGAACCCGCGGGCTCAGGCCATCCACTCACCTCGGCCTCTCAAAGGCGCGGGATTACAGGCTGAGCCACCGAGCCCAGCTCACGGCCCATGTCTCGACGCCTTTGCCTTGCCCGTGGAGCTGCTGGCGGCCCCCACAGGTGCCAAGCTGGCCCTGGCCCCTTGCGCTCTGCTGTGTCTCAGCAGGATGGCTTCGCGGACTCCTCTGCCTCTCTGAGCCTGGGCCTCTCTGAGCCGCCACCTCCCTGAGCCTCCGCCCGGGCGTGACAGGGTGCGGACCGTGTGGGGGGCTCGGCCTCACTTCCCTGCCTGCCACCGTGGCCTCCCACTCCCTGGAGGCCCCCGCCCCTCCCCAGCTTCTGGCAGACAGTGCGGCTTCTCACTCACACGGGCAACTCCTGAGTTTCAAAACAAAACTCGGGCCTTGTCGTGTCAAAAGCGTAGCTGTCCGCGTCGCCCCCAGCGGGACTCCACTTGCCCCCTGGAAGTCTGCCTTGCTTCTCCCCGTGGAAGCTGCCCACCGACTTGTCATGCTCCTGTAGCCTCACAAAACTTCCGCACCCAAGGTCCCTGGGCAAGGCTGTGTTCAGCCATCTCGTTGCACGGGTGAGGATGTTTGCGCAGAGAGGACTGGTCTTGACCAAGGTCACGCGGACTGCCCGCTTCTGCTTCTGGCAGTCGGGGCCACAAGGACTCCCTGAGGGACCACTGTCTCAGCGCTAGCAGTGTCAAGAGTGGAGCTGGCAAGCCGGAACTGGTGGCTCTGCCTGTCATCCCAGCACTTTGGGAGGCCGAGGCAAGTGGATTGCCGGAGCCCGCGGGTTCAAGACCCACCCAGGAAACTTGGCGAGACCTCGTCTCTACGATAAATCAAAAAATTAGCCGGGCTTGGTAGCGCTCACCTGTAGTTCCAGCCATTGGAAGGCTGAAGTGGAAGGATCGCCGGAGCCCAGCAGGTGGAGGCTGCGGTGGCCGGGAGCAGGCCCTTGCACTCCAGCCTGGGCGACCGAGTGAGACTTCAACACAAAAAACAAAAAAGAGTGGAACTGACTTGAGTGAGTTGCTGAGAAGAAAAAAGGCAACTCAGAGGTCCGAGGAGGGCGCGGCCCGTGTGATGGAGCCAGAAGCAGCTTCTGCCTCCCGCCGGGTCCCCTCTCCCGTCCCCAGAGAGCAGACCAGGCTGGGGGCAGGAGCTGGAGGGAGCGCAGGCACGTGAGTCGGGCCGGGGCCGGAGGCCTGCCCTCTCCTCTGCCAGGCCCAGTCCTGGGGCCTGACCCGTCTGCTTGCCGCACACAGCCAGGTGGACCTGTCCATCCCGAAGCTGTCCGTCACCAGAGACCACGACCTCAGGGGTGTGCTGGCAGACATGGGCATCACAGACGTGTTCACGGCCCAGGCAAACTTCTCGGGCATCGCCCAGGAGGCCCAGCTGAAGCTGTCGAAGGTGCGTGTCTCGGGGGCCGTCTTGGCACCGACCTCATTCAAGAACAGGGTCGCAGGACGAGAACCCCAGGTCTCGTCCAAGACCTTGCCTCCCCATGGGGGTGAAGTGGAGTCTCGGCAGGAAAACATGCCCTCCCAAGGTCACACGGGAAGCTGGTGACAAGGGAGGGAGGGCCACACCCAGGCATCTAGCCGACCCCCAGGCCACGCCGAGGAGTGGAGAAAGGAAGCCATGATGGCAGAGGGGCCCTGGGAAAGAGAGGCCGGGCGGGAGGTGTCCACCAGGGGTCAAGCCGAGTCCCGCCAGGCGCGCGCCTCATCCTCATCCTGGTGCGTCGTGTCCTGCCGGTCACCTCGGAGCATTCTTATCGCATACCTACTAGGCGCCTCAAGCTGTGTCCGGCTCTGGGTAGACATTCGTTCCCTGACGTGGCCCCTGCCTTCAAGGCACAGGGCTCTGTGGCCACCGTGGTACATGGCACACGGTCTGTGCTCAGTAAAACACACGCCATGAGAGCAGGTTGGGCGACACTGCCGCCTCCTCTAGGGAGGAGGACTCTGGCTGGACGGGCGTGTGGCTGGCCCGCAGTTGCACAGCTGGTCTGCACCGTCTGGCAGTCGACCTCAGGTCTGTGGCCTCCAGACCTCTACCCTCAAAACTCACCGTGGGGTTCCCAACCCGACTCAGTCTCTTCCCAGCCGCGAAGGCCCGCAGAACCTCCCAGAGCCTTGGCGTCCTGGCTGTGGAGTCCGTGGGCTGCCCCCTGAGGCATCGTGGGCTCCCTAAGCTTCTTCTGCTATTGAATTCGCCAGGTTCCCACCCGCCAAAGGCTCTGGCACAAGCTAAGCAAGCCTCTTGCTGATTCCAGAACGCCTTCTCCTTTTAGCACCAGGGATGTGTCCGCAGTCAGGGATGGACCTTTCAGGTTCGGCTGTGGCTTTCCCAGCAGGCCGGGCTTGTGCGCTCTGCATATGCTGAGCCCTAGAATTTACCAGAATTTAGGCAGAGGGGAAGGGGAGCGAGGTGTCCCTCCGCCAGCTCAGGCCTCGCCAAGGGGGAGCGAGACCCTGCCCAAGCCCCAACAGGCTCAGTCTGACCCTTTTCTGGGAGGGGGCACAGGTGCAACCTGGCTGTGGAGACGGGCAGACTGGGCCGTCCCCCTGGGGTCACCGCCCCGACGGGGCTTGCCGTGACCTTCTCAGAGCCCACCCTGCCCTGGCTTAAGGCGGGAGGGGAGTGGGTGCAACCACCCAGGACGGCTCACACCCACTCCGTCCGGCTCTGCCCACAGGTGGTGCACAAGGCGGAGATGCAGCTCGGCGAGCAGGGAGCCCCGGCAGCGGACACACCCAGGGCGGCTCTCAGCCTGACCTCCAAGCCTGTCTCCCTGCGTTTTGACCATCCCTTCCTCGTCATGGCCTTCGACCACTTCACCTGGAGCAGCCTCTTTCTGGGCAAGGTGGTGAACCCCACCTGACAGCCTGCCTCCAGCCCCGGGAGCCAGGCGCCCCCAGACCCGGGACCCGGGAAATGCCGTGGAGAGTGGGAGCGCTCTCCCCCAGACTCCCCAGGTCCTCCTCCTTCTGACCAGATCGGTCTCCCCTTAGCCATCTTGTAATAAATAACTGTCACTGCGACCTTGGCCAGTGTGGTTAAGGAAGGGCATGGGGACCCTGGGGGGTTCCCAGTTGAAAGGGGGCGTTCGCAAATCCCAGGCCTGACGCCTTAGCTCAGGTGCGCTGCCGTAACAGAGAACCCCAGACCAGTGGCTCGTGAGCAGCAGACCTCCATCCGCACAGTGCGGGAGGCGAGACATCTGCCATCCCGGCCAGCCTGGGCGGGCTCTGGCGGGGCCCCCTCCTGGCCCGCTTCCTGCTGGCTGAATCCTCCCATGGCACGAAGAGAGGGTCAGGAAGGCCTCATGGTGGTCTCCTCGACACGGGCACCGGCCCCACTCATGAGACTTCCACCCTCATGGCCTCATCAGCTTCTGGAAACCCGGCCTCCCGACACCATCACCTTGGGGGGAGGGGTTACGATTCCAACACGTGGGTTCGGGGGGACACAAGCATTCAGTCCCTAACATCTGGTGCCATCGCAGAAGGTGCCCTCGGCCCACAACCCACAGCCCCTCTTCCCTGGTCTCTGATTTGTCATGGGTCTCAGGAGTCAGGGCGGTGTGGACAGGTGTGTGGAAAAGGGTCGGAACCGGCCGGACCCAGAGAGGTAGGACCCTGAGGCTGTGCCTGGCTCCTTTTAAGGTTCCCTGCGCGTGGGAAGTTTCTGACGCGGGAAGCCTGCAAACTCCTCAGAAAGAGGGAGGGAGACACACAAAGGGGTGGGATTGGTCTCCACGGCCGCTGGTTTTGCTTTCTTACTGCAAAAGCATCGGGCATTGAGGCTTGGCCCTGGGAGAGGCAGGATCGGCCATCTTGAAGGCAGCCCCACCCCTAAAGCCCGTGGTCCATGGTCCCGCCCCTGCCGGCGGTGGTATCACTCTTTCCCGTTTGGCGGATGGCTGGATTTGTTTTGTCGGGTTTGGGTTTTTAGTATGATTTTTACATTGCTCGTTTTTATAAGCCAAACCACACAGAGTCTATAAATTTCTTCTCCATGCCTACCGTGGGAAGAGAAAGAGAGAGAGAGGGAGAGGGTATTCACCCCATTGAATACACTATATATGTGCATATATGCGGGTGTGTGTGTGTGTGTGTGTGTGTGTGTGTGTGTGGCTAGAGTGCAGTAGCACACTCACGGCCACCCCAGCATCAACCCGCTGGGCTCAGGCGATCCTTCCGCCTCAACCTCCCAAGTAGCCGGAACTACAGGCGTGCATTACCATGCCTGACTAATTTTTTGATTTATTGTAGAGATGAGGTCTCACCAGGTTGCCCAGGCTGGTCTCAAACCCATGGGCTCAGGCAATCCTCTCCCCTCGGCCTCCTAAAGTGCTGGGATGGCAGGCGTGAACCACCGTGCCCAGTCTTATACATGCATATATTTATATAATTTCAGAATCTGCTTTTTGATTTATTAATGGAAATTTAGAAGAAAGCAAAAGTGACACTTTCAATCAATGCGGAAAACAAATTGTGTTAAAACACAGATTAAAAATATTTGGGGTCAACCAGGTAACCAGCTGAAAGGCAACGTGAGTTGAAATCATCCTCCTTCTCATACCAGGATGAATTCCAGAAGATCAAATATTTAAATGTAAAAACTGAAATCATAAAATCATGAGAAATACATAATAGAAAGACTTGTCCAAGAATGCTCTAAAAAACCCAGAAGCCCCTCCATAAAAATGCCTTAAGTCTAATCAAATTTTAAAAACCAAATAAAATCTGCCAAGAATATGTCCATTCCTATTATACTCAAAGAGCTGATTTCTCCCGTAAGTCATGGCATTCGGGTTGGCCCCAGGATAAGGGTGGCTGAATATGAATTCCTTACATGCCCGCCCAACGGGCTACTCGGAAGGCTGAGGCGGAAGGATCGCCGGAGCCCAGCAGGTGGAGGCTGCGGTGCCCGGGAGCGGCCACTGCACTCCGGTCTGGGTGACAGAGTGAGACCCCAACTCAAAAAAAAAAAAGAATCTTTTTTCTGACCAACAGAAGCCCGAACCATGTGTTCCCTTCCCTAACGACAAAGGACATTGCAGACAAAGTTCTTGATACAGAAAAGAGGCGCCCCAGAGGGAAAACGGGACCCACACAAGGAAGGAGGAGCCCTAAACGGATAGACACGTGGGGGCAAACAGGAAGTCAGAAAAGTCTTTAAGACACAATCAGTGGTTTACAGGAAAAACAGCCCAATGCTGAGGTGCAGCTTCCCACCCCGAACCCTCCTGGCCGTCCGCAAGGTGAACAATTGTGCCTAAACGGGGTGACACCAAAGTCTACATAGACACGCAGACACGCAAACAAGCAAAGCAGTGGTGACACAAACGCAAAGAGAGAAGACTTCAGCAAGGTATAGACTCCACATAAAAATAACAACTTCACATACAAAAATAACCAGTGAAGACATATAATGGAATAAAAAACCCAACAGCAGCCAAAAAGATGCCACAATTACCAATAACTGTGCAGAAATTTACATTGAAAAAAAATTGTAAAAAATTAGACCGGAACGAATAGAAATACATTCCTTCCTGAATAAGATATCTCAACGTTTTTTAGATACCCGTTTTCCCTACGCTGATTTATCAGTATAATGAGATTTCAATAAAAACACCAACAGTTTTTTGCCTGGAGATAGGCAAGACGACACGAAAGTCCACACAGAAAAACAAACAGGCCAGAGTAACCAGCAAAACACTGCAAAAGGAAAAGCCACGGGGACGGGTGGCACCAGAGAAGGACAGGACGGTCCTGAACGCACAAGACAGCCACAGGTTCTGCCATTAAAGTGGTGACACTGAACGTGAATAGACAGGCAAACCAATGAAGTCGGTGAGAGTCTGAAAGCAGACCCATATGGCAAGGGAAACTTGACGCTGGATTTAGAAGAACTTTCAAGGAAATGGCGTTGGGACGACTAGCGGCCATTTGGAAAAAAGAATAAAATTCAATCTGCTCCCCACACCACGCACCCACCTGAGCTAAGAGTCAGAAACCCAAGTGGAAAAGAATGAAACTGCACTTGCAGTAGAACAAAACATGGGTGAACGCCCCGTGATCAACATGTAGAAGAAAGTTTTCGAATCATGACTCAGAGTCCGCATGAAATTAAGGATCGACACATTTGGCGACATAACATTTTTTTAATTGCCTGGGTCAAAACACTCATAAGGAAAGTCAAAAGCCAAACGGAAGCTTGAAATAAAATAGCTGTGAGTCGCATCATTGATAGAGAATGAATATCACTAAGATACAAAGAACGTTTTTTAAAAATTAGGAGAAAATATCCAACACCTTACAAAGATGGGCAGAAGGCATAGACGTACAGAGATGCAGGTACTGATTAAGCAGATTAACAATATGTTCAGTTTCGCTTAGAGTTGAAAGTGCAAACTGAAATCCTGAGACGCTACCTTCGCCCCTTCAGATTGGCAAAAATGTGAGAGCTTTGATGATGCGTTGTATCGGTAGTGTGGAAACGGTCATTCTCACACTTTCCTAGTGGACGCTGAACTTCCCCGTGGAAGGGCATTGGGCAATACATCGTGTACGAGCTTCCTGAGACAAATAACCACACATCACTGTAGACTTGGGAGCTTCAGTAACCGAAATAGATCCATGTAGAGTTTTGGAGGGCAGAAGTCTGAGAGGAGCTGGCAGGGTTCGTTCCTTTCGGGGGCTCTGCGAGAGGGTGAGAAGCCAAGGTCCAGCAATCCTTGGTGGTCCTGGGCCTGCAGACACATCACGCGTCTCTGTCTCTTTCTCTGCACAGACTCTTCCGCTCATCTCTTTCTGTCCGCATCTCCCTGTGCCTTTCTCTTACAGGGACACCTGTCGGTGTTAGGGTCCACCCTACATCCGGGACAAGCTCGTCTTCCGAGCCTCGGCTTCATTACACCCACACAAATCCTTTTCCCAAATAAGATCGCATTCATAGGTTCTAAGGACATATCATTTGGGGGGGCCACCATTCAACCCAATATATAGAACAAAAACACAGTTACATTTACTTTTGACCCCAAAAGCCCACTTCTAGGAGTTTAGCCGAAGACACACCTCTCACCATTTTTAAAATAACCTGCACAGGGTTATTCATTGGAGCGTTATTTGTCATTGTAACATACTGGAAACTGCTTAAATTCCCAAGCCTAGGAGATGGGTTGAATAGTCAATAGAGTATTATGAAGTTGTGAAAAAGAAATGAGGAGGAACTCTACACATTGGTTTTGTGAGGAAGAAAGAAAATTTAAAAATCACGAGCATTATATGTTTGTCCTCATAAAAAGAAATACAGGGAGAATGAACCAGAAGCAACTCGATGGCCACCTAGAAGGGGTCGGCAGGGGCTGGGCCAGCACAGAAAGGGTAGGGGAAAAGCTGGGTGTGTGACTTCTGCTAATAGTAATAGTCAAACATACAGTTAAATGTGAAAGACGAGACAAGCCTAAACTGGAATTTAAAAAAACAAAGGAACTCAAACATATTTCAAACGGACAACATACACCCAGAAAGGGAGCAGCTGATCCTAGGAGCATGCTGGGTGTGTCTGCATTGGCCTTTGGACCTGGCTCGTCTGCTAGTGACGTGTTCAGCTAGCATGCACGGATGTTTCCCATTCCTGCTGCCCTGTGGGACGGCGACATGGCAAGTTTCTCTGTGCGAGTTGAACAAAGGATGTCACAAACGCTGTAGAAAAAGATCATATGTGTGCGTGTGCAGGTGCAAATATAGATACTCAGATAGCGAGAAGAGAGTTGCAAAATGTGGAGACAGTTAAAAATGACTGTCTGGGTAAAAGGGTTGGGAGTTTCGGGGTACTGTTCCTTGCCATTTTACTTTAAGTTTGAAATAATTT